GGCTGTGTTACTTACCTTCCAGGACCTGGCTGTGTTACTTACCTTCCAGGACCTGCCTGTGTCGCTGTGTTACATACCTTCCAGGACCTGGCTGTGTCGTTGTGTTACTTATCTTCCAGAACCTGCCTGTGTCGCTGTGTTACTTACCTTCCAGGACCTGGCTGTGTTGTTGTGTTACTTACCTTCCAGGACCTGGCTGTGTTGCTGTGCTACTACCTTCCAGGACCTGGCTGTGTTGCTGTATTACTTACCTTCCAGGACCTGGCTGTGTTGCTGTATTACTTACCTTCCAGGACCTGGCTGTGTTGCTGTATTACTTACCTTCCAGGACCTGGCTGTGTTACTTACCTTCCAGGACCTGGCTGTTCAGCTGATTTGATGAGAAACACCGGCTGCCATTTTCTAACCCCTCGAAAAGGGAGTCCCAATATGGCGGCTGGCACCGCCCCCTCTTCTGGACATCAGCCGCCTCACAAAGGGGCGTGTCTGACAGCTGGAGATCTAAAAGGTGATTGGTTGTGGGCGGAGTTTAAAATGCATCATGGGAAACCGGAAATGGTGAGATAAACATGTGTTTTATATATATATAGTGTATAGAGTGTGATATATATATATATATAGTGTATAGAGTGTGATATATATATATAGTGTATAGAGTGTGATATATATATATAGTGTATAGAGTGTGATATATATATATAGTGTATAGAGTGTGATATAGATATATAGTGTATAGAGTGTGATATATATATATATATAGTGTATAGAGTGTGAGATATATATATATATAGTGTATAGAGTGTGAGATATATATATATAGTGTATAGAGTGTGAGATATATATATATAGTGTATAGAGTGTGAGATATATATATAGTGTATAGAGTGTGAGATATATATATAGTGTATAGAGTGTGAGATATATATATAGTGTATAGAGTGTGATATATATATATATAGTGTATAGAGTGTGAGATATATATATATAGTGTATAGAGTGTGAGATATATATATATAGTGTATAGAGTGTGAGATATATATATATAGTGTATAGAGTGTGATATATATAGTGTATAGTGTATAGAGTGTGATATATATATATAGTGTATAGAGTGTGATATATATATATAGTGTATAGTGTATAGAGTGTGATATATATATATATATATATAGTGTATAGAGTGTGATATATATATATATATATAGTGTATAGAGTGTGATATATATATATAGTGTATAGAGTGTGATATATATATATAGTGTATAGAGTGTGATATATATATATAGTGTATAGAGTGTGATATATATATATAGTGTATAGTGTATAGAGTGTGATATATATATATATAGTGTATAGAGTGTGATATATATATAGTGTATAGAGTGTGATATATATAGTGTATAGAGTGTGATATATATATATATAGTGTATAGAGTGTGAGATATATATATATATATAGTGTATAGTGTGTGATATATATATATATATAGTGTATAGAGTGTGAGATATATATATAGTGTATAGAGTGTGATATATATATATAGTGTATAGAGTGTGATATATATATATATATAGTGTATAGAGTGTGAGATATATATATAGTGTATAGAGTGTGAGATATATATATAGTGTATAGAGTGTGAGATATATATATAGTGTATAGAGTGAGATATATATATATATATAGTGTATAGAGTGTGAGATATATATATAGTGTATAGAGTGTGATATATATATATATAGTGTATAGAGTGTGATATAGATATATAGTGTATAGAGTGTGAGATATATATATATAGTGTATAGAGTGTGAGATATATATATATA